GAATACACTTTGATTATGAGCGATTTCTGAAATAAATTACAAAAGAAGTTAAATACTATGTGTTTATCGCCTAAAATTCATTTATTCGTAATAATACACGCATGAAAGAAGAGGTAAAGCGAACAGCGGCGCGATCTCTTGTATCAAGCGCGTGTGTTTGTGTCCCGAGAACCCACGCACGTTTTCAAACACGTCGGTAGCAGTACGTATTTTAGTTCGTGCAAGGTGATGCTCTAGAGCGCGCTACTGTAATGGTCCCCACCACGTTATATGGAAGTTATAGAGCCCTGGCCTTCACCACGATGGCGCACTCCCTCCGAGCCTCCTGGCGTCCATTATCACTCCCTCCTCTTACCGCCCTCGCCTCGGGCACGCCCCTACCCACGAACAGGCATCCGCCGCTGCACATGGCTATGCCCTCGCCCCCACGACGCCTTTATCTCCTTAGATGCTAAATATTAAACCATGTCTTAATTTGAGGGAAAATGATAACTGTTCACGCATAGCCGACCAAACTTAAATTAATGTAATACAGTCGACTGTTTTTGAGGGAAAAATATACATTTCAAGAGCGGGACGTTTGAAATGTACGCCATTTGCTGTTAATTCATCCCAAAGAATGGTTATAATTGTTTATATTCTATCACAGCACAATGCTCAAAAGCATAAATATCAATTTCTGTAGTTCGTGTATGATCGATCGTTGTTGATCCCTCGAGAAAAAATACAAGCAACCATCTACAAAAGTTTTAAACTGTTGGAATTAAACTTCTATCTTCAAATTTTCTATTCATTATTAAACTAATCATGTAATTAATGAAGATATCTTCATGGGATAGATAAGGATAAATAGGTTTATTTTCAAAGTTTCTACAGAATTTACGGAACTGTAAATTATTATGATCTGCACGAGAAAAGCATTTATTTAATTATGTTTGGTAGGCTTTATCATGCTACATAACGTCCTTCCAGAAAAAAACGAAGTAAGAAGCTTTTCTTTTCTGTGTGTTCTATTATATTTGTACTTGTCTTTGTGGAAAATTTTATCCAAACACTTGATTTCGTTTTTCAGTAGCGGGTGGGTTTCTGCCAATCTTCTCTAAGGCGGTGCATTTTCGAAGGAGCCTTGCGTCGCTCGGTGGGGCGTGGCCGGGCGTCGGGCGGGCGGCTGCGGCGGTCCCTCGCCCCGCACCCTCGCCGCGGACCGAAATACACGCGCAGGCCGCTCGCTCGCCCCGCCCCACCCCCGCCCCGCTCGCTATCTCTGCTCCGCCCGCCCATCCACCCGCCTGCGCACTCGCCAGCTACCTCCTAGTTCGCCCACCCGCCTGCTCGTCCGATCTATCGCCCACTTGCCCCCTCGTCCGATAACCCCGTCACCCTCTTCAACTCTTGCCTTGTCGCTCTTCTCTCATCTTCTCAGTATCTCTCACCCTTTCGTTCTCTTGCCCTCTCTCGCTCTCACACTATCTCTCTCCCTCTCGTTCTCTCTCTCTCTCTCGTCCTCTCGCTTGCCCATTCACTCTTTGCTCGCGCCTAGCCCGCTCGCCCGCGCGGGGGGGGCGGATAGGGAAGGCGGCGGAGGCGGGCGCTGGCGGTGAATGGCCAGGCCAGCGACGGGCAATGCTCCTGCGGAGTGAGGAATCCTGCAAGGGCCTCAGACGCGGAGCTGGAGAAGGTTTGCAAACACCCACTCCGTTTTCCAGCTTCTCGGCGGCCCTCTTGCCGTTCCCGCCAAGGGGGATGCGGTGAATGCCGGTGGCAGCGGAGGCGCTGTCGGAGGGGAGAACGGGGAAACGACGGTGACAACGGCGAAGGCGGAGTCAGTGCTATGAAAGCATTAGGGCCAAGGCAAAGTTGGTGGCATCGACGGGGGAGGCACTGCTGTCGGTGAAGGTACCACCGATGAGAAAGGAAGCTGAATTATTTTGGGCGTCTTGCCTCTCGTACTGTATGTACAAAGTGATGGATTCCCTAAAAGAAAAGTCATTAAATCGTGGATGTTCAACTTGCAAGGTCTCAAGGGCCACAAGTAAAACCTTTAATACGGAGGCGGGCCATATTATTGCTACTCGGGCCATTCACACGTGCGTCCGTCCGTGTTATTGGTATATATTGGCAATTTGCCGGGCTGCTCTGAAGCGAGCGAGAGGCGGGAGGAATGGATCTTATATCAGGCTCTACAATGTGTAAAGCACTTAAACACCTTGGGATGATTTTCAATTTCTGAATTTACAACAAAAAAATTCCTTAATCCTAAACTCAACCTATTTTCCAATCAAAGGCGTCGTAGATACCGACAGGGCGCGTCCTACGAACGCTATGTTCTCGCCCGACATCGAAGCAAAAGGACTTCCACATTCGTTTAATAACCTTTCTCGGGCTACAATAAATAGCACCGCGGGCTACCAGTTGGACAACCCTGCGGTAAATCAATTCGGGTACATTTAGTACAATAAGAACCGCCAGCGCCTGCTTTCCAATATGTCGATGTACTTAAAGCATTGCCATTCCCAGCCCTTGCCGGAGGGGGGGGGGAGACGGAAGGGGCTTCGGAGATGGCTCTGGGAATGCAGGCGGGGCGGCGGCTGTGAGACAGCGGACGGCAGCCGCGGCCAACACCGGTTTTTCGGTATGCTGACGAGCGTCTCGGCCAAGAGGGCTCCAGTGCGAGGATAAACGGCCAGTTGGAGTGAGAGGCTGAGACAAAGACCGGCTTGTCTCACAGCGGGGAAAGAATAGACCGCTGAAGTGTATATTACTCATGCAGTGTTGAAGAATGAACGTTGCGTTAATTGATCGTCTAAATTATGGGTTTTTTGAACTGGACGCTTGTACGTGAATCAAAATACGCGGAAACATTCATTGTACAATATCAGTTTCTTTTGTTCTTATGTCGTAAAACGTTTGTGGCTGTATATCTCATTTGTCTATTTTAATATTCTATATTTATATAACATATCTTTATACTCAGTGATAATGTAAAATCAAATTTACCTACTTATTAGAGATCGACGTTTAACTCATCTCTTTAGAGATGACAAATTACATGGGCCCTGTGATGTTGAGAAGTTTGAGAACATTGAGCTACATTTTACTGAATTTCTTCGATCCATTACAAAATATCGATTGTATACAATTGTGTGAATTTTGAGGAATGCCCTGAAAATTCTTTTCTATTTTTGCATTTCACAAACTCTTAGGAATTCGTACCATAGACATTTTGTAAAATACAGTTTAAATAGAGTAAAGATATCGAAATTGAATTCCCAATATTTAATGAGA